CCCCCCCCCCCCCAGTGCTTACCAGTTTAGAATCTATTAAGTTGGCAAGGTCATATCGGCAGCTCCTAGAGAAGCAACAAGGTGCTGTTCTCCAGCTGAGGCAGAATGGAAGCTACCCATTTCCTCATCCTCGAAAGGAGTTTTGGTTTTCTCTTTCGGGACAGGGAGATTAGGGAGACTTAAGCCTTACAGTGTGAAGGCCAGGAGGTGTTAGTGCACTGCAGGAGCCGCACTGCCTCAGAACCCACCACCATCTCTAACTGCTCAGACGTCTGAGTTTGTACTGGTCACAGCCAAAACCACCAGCTGTGTCCCCAGTCTTCCCTAAAAGTCATGTTGGGCCCCTTAAGTCCTTGACAACGAAGAACCCACTCTTAAAACCCTTGGTTTAGGGAGCTGGAGATGAAGTACCCAGTTATTTGTATTTGTATTTAGCACTCCAAGTATCAAAGAGAGGAAAAATTTGTTTCGGTCATCTGTACGATTAGGGCATTTTCCCCCTCAGTGGCCTTGCTTCTGAGTTAACTTTAAACAGTATCACTAGTTAACGGGAGGAATTCTTCTAGAAGAAAACAACTGGGGTTGGGTATTGTCTCGCCAGGCTCGCAAGGAGACCTGACAGGTAAACTGGTCCAGCACTTTATCCCAATGACATCATTCACCCTCGAGCGATCGGTGGAGCAAGCAGGAGTCACCATCGGGGTAAAAGGGAACTCTGGTAGAAAGTTCCAGAGAATGTTTTGGAAGAGGGAGCGGAGCAATAGATATTGAATTCATGAACTCTATGTGGACCAAAGAGACTGAAACTTCAGTGTTTCCTCCCTCGTGGGAAGCGTGAGGAAATCCATTTAAAAAAAGAAAAAAAACCCTTCATAGTTTTCGAGTCACTCACACATACCACCCCGCGATGCCTAGACCCAGAGGCGCTGACCTAGACGCTGATTCACTGAAGTTTCCTGCGCAGGCGCACTAGAGCCGAGCGGAGGCGCCGGGCTCTGTGGGCGGAGCCAAGGCCAGTCACGTGAGACCCGCGACACAGCTCCTCCATGTCCCTAAATGGACTTAGACGGGGTCCCCGCCTCTCTCCGTTCTCTGGAATGCGGGCAAAGGAGAGCTCCAGGGCAGGCGCAACCATTGCTGAAAAGGGGGCTAGAGCAGAATCGCAATTCAAAAACAGACGCGAGAAAGACGAAGAGTCAGTAATGAGACCCAGAGATACGACACACGGCCCTTTCAGTCCTAAGCGACGCGTTCGTCACTCCCCATCGGCGCCCCGCGCCCGCGGTCGGCTCCGACACCTTCCCTGAGGCCCCCTCCCGGCAGGGCTGGCCCACAGAGGCGGTGCAAGAATGGCCGCCAGGCTTCCTTCCGGCTCGCGAGCGGAGGCCGGAAGTGGCCGTTCTGGGGCGGCTGGATAGTTAGAAAGTCTGTGAGGGCGGCGGCAGAGCTTCTCGGAGACACTCTCGGTTCTCGCGGCTGAGCAGGGTGAGTGGTGTTGGCCGCGGGGCGGGTGCGGCCTGGCCCGGGAAGGTGTCCCCGCGGGGCTGCGGTGTGCGCGGGGGCCGCCGGGAGCCGAGGCTGGGGAGCGCACCTGGGCAGGTGTGCCCGCGCGAGCCGGGGCGGGGAGCCGGGGAGCCGGGGCGGAGAGCCAGGCCGGGAGAGAGCCGGGGCGGAGAGCCGAGCCGGGAGAGAGTCCGGGCGGAGAGCCGGGGCGGAGAGCCGGGGCGCAGACCTCTAAGTCCCAGACTTGGAGTTAGGGAAATGTTGGTTAGCTCGCCGGCGCCGCGCGCCTTGGACCACTGCCTACCCGCGAAACCCGAGCCCCACAAGAGCTGACTCCCGAGCGCTGTTGGGTTGCTAACGTAAACCTGCCAGAATCCAGGGAGTGTGCGGACAAAACCGTAGGACAGCCACCCTCGGCCACTGGCATTGCAGCTGCCCGGCTACGGTTAGGAGCCAGAGCCCGTTCCAGTTTGCAGCTCAGCGTGCGCCCCTCTGAAAGTAGAACTTTTTTTTAAAGCGGTATTTGAACAGATTGGAGGGAGTTTCGTTTGCCTGTCGAGGGGACTAAGTCGACCCTACAGAGGAGTGTTTTTAGTTAAGAATCTTTGAGTAGGCACATCAAATACATTGTTAGATTTTTAGAGATCTTTTAAGATTTTAATTTTTTTAAAAAGGCGACGAAAGCGAATCTCCGCTAAAATTGCTGATCTTTTCTTTTTTTTTGTTTCTGGATGGCCTTTAATGCGGATTAATTAGAAAAGCATTTTGTCTTCAAAAGTGAGGCGTAGTTGACGAGTCAATCCTGGCAACTCATGACTTTTTTTAAAAGGTGCTCCGAACTCTTGGGTGTGGCTGGCTAGGAAGATCCAAGCTGACTCTCAACCGGAAGTGTGCCTAAGAAGTAAAGACTTGATTTTCCTTGAAACTGAAATACCAACTTGAAAATATACTTTTAAAAACTGAGACTATCCCCCTCCCTCCCATCTCGTAAAAAATACACTAATTAAATAATACAGATTTGATCTGGATTTCGAAGCAGGCCAGATACCTAGGTGCTAGCACACTATGAGGTCTTGAGATGGCAGTTTTCCAAAGGGTATATTTCCCAGTTTTAAGAGAGTTTTTTTTTTAATTAAAAGGTATTAACTATGCTTAGTTTAGATGTTTTGTTAAGAATTTCTATCTTTTACATCTATTACCAGTTTAGGCACGTGAGATTCTATTTAATTTCGGCAATCTCATGTATATCTTAGTATGGATTAGTCCTACTTAAAAGGTTTCATAGATGCTTTTTTGTTATTATGTTGTTGTTTCTTTATTTGTCTGTTATTTTGGATAGGGTCTCCTTTTAGCCCATGGTGGCCTAAAACTTGAGATGGTCTTCCTAATTTAAGGCCTGGGATTGTAAGCCCAGTTATGAGTCATCACACCAACTTTAGCTTTTTTCAAAACTTAGATACCATAGGTTCTTTAAAGTCTACATTTCTAAAGATTCTGTAATCTGGTTGCCCTCGGCATGTGTAGAAAGCCTCTCCGGGCTGTCTTCATAGTCTGATGTCTTCTCAAGCATGAGGTCCCGTTTAGTAAACTGCTAAATCAGGAAACTTTTTGAGGCAGGGATGTGGCTTATTGTCAGAGTGCTCACCTAGCATACAGTGAGGCAGAACTGCAAGACAAACAACCCACACCATACCACATGCACTGCTGCAACACTCCTTTCCATCTATAAACAGAAGCCATCTTGACCACCTTTGCCCTTCCTCCTCTTTCTGATGCTCCAAAGCTGTCATCCGTTCTCTAGAAGGCCAGCTGGCAAACCTTCCTGCTGCTTAAGTTTCATACCAGAGACCTTTCACAAAGCCTTCAAAGTGAGGATCTCAGGTGATCCTGCCGTACACCCTAAATTGAAATCCTTACAACGATCATAAAATATTTGCAGTTTTATTTTGCTCTAACTTTTTAAACTAAGTTGAACATTGTATTTACAGCATCACTGTTTTAGAACCACATTAAAGAGAATACTGCCACTCTCAGAGATTCTCCCTGGTGTCGTCGTAGCCCCATTCTCGCCGGCTCCATTACCTGAATTTATTCCCACCATGCTTGTAGTTTGGTGGTTGTCTGTATAGACGGGTATTTGGCTATGTCATGGCTGTGAAGCTGCAGGTTTCTGTGGGAGACCTGTGAATCAGTGTCATCGTGAAGGAGTTGAGACTCAGGGAGTAACTGGCTCAACATCACATTATCAGATCTGCACAGAGTTACCTTCTTGAAGTAAGACGAGCATCTGATCTTAATTCCAAAGATAGTGGGAATGTCACTTCCAAGTGATAATGCGTTCAGTGTTTAGTTTCCTCTCTAATCCTGTAGAAATTAGGGGACCATTCTGAACTCTCAGTGTTTATGATAGAGTCTCACCATGTATCCTTGGCTGCCTCCCAGTGTTGGGAGTAAAGCATTCACCACCACCCACTTCACTCTTTTGTACCTTTCTGCATTGTTGTAACTTTGGGGTCATTCCTCTGGAATGGGAAGTATGTCACTCATTGCCTAAGTTGGACCAGTCATTGGACTGCATCCCTCTCTTGCCGGGTTTTAACTTCTTCAAGATAGGTCACATGCGTGCTTTTAAAGCTTTCACACTTCTGACTCGAGTTCAATGCTAATGACATTGGATATGCATTAATATAATTAATTAGTCCTAGTACAATTGAATAAAGTATGGGATGAACTGAAGTTCTGTCTGAAACTGTTGTTGATGCTACATAAAACCTCAGCTGCTCTATAATGCACTTGCTGATTTTTAGATGCATGCTTTAAGTAATATTAAATATTAAAATTACATGTTGCTTTTAATATTTTAAGCGTTTTTATAAAGGAATTTTAAGAGTACCCCCATCAAATGTAGTTTTACATGAGAATTTTGTAGATAAAAAAAAAATCACCTTTGTAAGCTATTTAACCTGTGGTTCTCATTGATTTTTCAAATAACTGACATTCCAGGGTCATTGAGAGAAGGAAGACAATATTGTCATACAAAACAGGCTATTTTTGAAGATGATTTTTGACTTCAAAGACATGCTGTGCTCAAAATCTTGAAGAGGTGTGAACTAGTTCATATTGTACTGTCTGCACGTTTAAGAGCCAGTAGTGATGTACTCTGTATGGCCTAGTGGTTAATCCATTTAGCTCAGAAGGGAGGAGTGCAGCCTTGTGTAGTGAGTGAGATGTAGAGCCTCCAGAGGACAGTAGCTGAAAATATGCACTCATGAATGGTTGCAATAGTCAGTCTCAAAGGAGAAATAAAAGTAGAAATTTGAGGCTACGTAATTGTCTTACATGGCATCCTTCTAGAGTCATTTTGCTGTGCCCCCTGACTCTCTGTGGTAGATAACTGGAGTTGTGACAGGCTGTCCTTTTAAGATAACCTCTCAAATCTGAAACCCGATTTAGATAAAAAGCAGTGTGAGCAGAGCTTTTCTAATTGCTTCCATAATTTTAGTCTATTGGTGTGTTGTAATCAAGGAAAGAATGTAAGAAATTGTTTTGTTTTGTTTTTTTAACTCGTAGGAAACATTCTAAGGGTCACTTCGGGTGCTGGAATCTAGGTAGCGGTTCATTCTTTGCAGTCCACAGTCTTATTTTTAGAGCAAGGGCATGGTGCTTTGCCGAATCATGGCTGAATGTTGTTTTCAGAACGTAAGCTTTAAAACTGTTATCTTGGTCAGAGAGTGAAGTCAGTAGTGCCTGTTTTAGCCCTGCCTGGAGAATATAACTCCAGAGTGTCAGTCCTGCCGAGCAGGGCTCGTACTCTGTCATCTGCACTTCACCTCTGAGGAATGGTATGCCAAGATTTTATTATCTGATAACTATAGGATTTTCCACTTCAAAAACTTTATATTGTTTTAAAGTTGAGTGTTCATGGGGAAAATTATATTTTTATTTTTAAGCTTTACAGGGGTAAATTTTTTAGAGAGCAAAGATAGTGTCTATGATTTTAAGGTGTTCTTTAAATGAAATTGCTTTACTACTTGTGCTCTGGTTTCAAAGGAGAAGCTTTAGTTATATCTCGTGGGTAGTGCATCTACTGTTCACAGAGCAGATCTGTATAAAGTTCTGTCAAGTCTCTAAGTACTGTATCGAGTCTGTAAGACTAGCTCGTGGTGAATTTACTTCACATTCCATGCTTTTATGTTAGCCTTTCATCAAAATGTTTTGAACGACATTGACCCCTGAAGTGTGGGTGCAACCTGAAATGTTACCTGAATGTGGAAGAATAGCATTTGTCTTAGAGAGTAGGAGGGGAGACTTGTTCAGTCAGTCAGCCTTGCCACTTCCCATCTCTGACAGAGCGGATCGGCTAATTTAGGTGTGAGCTTCAGAAGGATAAGGTTCTGAAGATGAATTAGTGTTTCCTGGCAGCTCCATAGTGCCCTTGCATGATAACTGCTGTTTCCCACGTATCTAACCCCCACCCCAACCCAAGCAAACCCTCTCCTTGGTTTTTATTTTTCTTTTGTTGTTAAGTTCTATGGTGGTAGTGGGGATTTGTAATCTTGATGGGCTGTTTGCTTTCACTTGATGTTGATTGAAATCCTTATTTTAAAAAAAAAAACTTTAAACTTTTAAGAGTAAGTGAACTCAAAGTTCAAGATGGGTTTTTCACTTTTAGTTTGGTTGTTGGCATGAAATTTTTACCCAGTTTTGTCACTCCACTGTAACATGGCGCTGACTGAGAAGTCTCAAGCGTATATAAAGACAATTCCACTTATTCAAGTAATCCACTATTGTGATTCATACTTAGTAATCTTAGGTACTGATTTTATTCCCCTTGAATTCTTGCTTACTTAGGATTTAACCGCCACCATGTCGAGCAAAAGGGCAAAGACTAAGACCACCAAGAAGCGCCCTCAGCGCGCAACTTCCAATGTGTTCGCCATGTTTGACCAATCCCAGATCCAAGAGTTCAAAGAGGCCTTCAACATGATCGACCAGAACCGGGATGGCTTCATTGACAAGGAGGACCTGCACGACATGCTGGCTTCAATGGGTAATGTCTACTTGCAGTGCTGATGTATTGTGTAGAATTTCCTTCATATTTTTCATGAAACAGTATTTCCTACTGGGCACATGAATATTCCTGTACCTATTTCTGGTTGGACTGGAGGGCTGTGTGTATCTGCCTTCCTACATGTATGTGGGTTGCTGTTTGAGGGAGTGGGGCTGAAGAGATTGCTGAGAGTTACTAGTGCATACTGCCTGCAGAGGATTCAGGCTTGGTACCCAGCACAAGCACTCCTACTCAGTAGCTCACCGTCACTTGTGACTCCAGCTGCAGGGAGATGCCGGCTTCCTTGGATTCGGTGGCATCTGCTTCAGTGGGCACATGTCCCCCTCCCTAGTTTTGCCATCATGAACCCAAATGATTTTATTTCCTGCTAGAATGTTTACTGTGATTAATAATTGATGTGTTTCCTAATGTTATTACGAATGTGGCTCCTTTTATTCAGGAAAAAATCCGACTGATGAATACCTGGACGCCATGATGAACGAGGCCCCAGGCCCCATCAATTTCACCATGTTCCTCACTATGTTTGGAGAGAAGCTGAACGGCACCGACCCCGAGGACGTCATCAGAAACGCCTTCGCTTGCTTCGATGAGGAAGCGATCGGTAAGCTGGGGTAACCTTTAATCATAAAGTTGTTTCTTAGTTCTGTGGCAGGATATTAGTGATTTAAGTGTAGTGATTCAGCGCTTGCACTGTGTAGAGGTTTTCTATGCAGCCTTCTGGCCTGTGCTCATCAGTCATCTTCCCATAAGTATCAGTGGTTTTCAGAGGTTCGTTGGTTACATTTGAAACCTTTTGGGGAAACATATTTACTCTTTTACTTAAAAGTTAATTCCCCAAGGTCCTGGTTGTCAGTACTGTGTGAAATGAATAACTGACCAGAACAACCTCATAAATTGCTGTACACCACAGCACAGTAAATACACGGAGAAAAGCTTAGACTCTGGGCTCAGGCTACCTGGTTTCAGAACTGTCTGCTGCTGTGTCATAGCTATGTAACTCTGGGCAGGTTACTTGGGTAAGGTTCTGTTACGCTTTTGTTTCCTAATGAAACTGACAATAATATGACCCATCTCATGAGGCTGTTGTGAGGATCAGATGAGAATCAGGAGGTGGAGTTGAGAATCGGGAGTTTGGGCTATCTAGTAAGAAAGCTATACCTCAAAAAACAAACCATTAAACAAACAAAAAGTGTTAGCAACAGGAATGCCCAGTCCTCTGGCAAAAGCAGAAGAGAAAGCACATGGGCACATTTTCCAAGATTTCTGCCTTGTGGCTCAGCAAGTGTGTGTAGAGAGGGAATATACCTGATTACCTGCGTTACCTAGGCTAGTCTTAAATGCCAGGGGTTGTCATGGGCAGCTAACATAGGCATGGTCTCCTAGCTCTCAGGACTCTCCACAACATGATTGTCTTCTGATTTTCACATATGTGGCCCTTGCCCACAAAAGAGGCTCACATGAGCACATGTGAGTGTGGGGTTGTTTTTGTAGAATTTTCTCTTGGCTCCTTTATTTTTCTTTCCATGCACCAAGCTTTTTTATTTGTGTCTGTCTCTATCTCTATCTCTCTCTCTCTCTCTCTTATTTTTTTTTTTTTTAAGATTTATTTGTTTTATTTATATGAGTACACTGTAGCTGTCTTAAGATACACCAGCCACCATGTGGTTGCTGGGAATTGAACTCAGGACCTCTGGAAGAGCAGTCAGTGCTCTTAGCCACTGAGCCATCTGTCCAGCCCTGTGTCTGTTTCTTGACACATGCATGATTGATACAGTTTAGTTGTACGCTTATTCCCAATCACAGTTAACTTAAGTGCCAGTCAATTGGTTGGAGTTAATGATTTATTTCTACAAAGCTACACTTCTAAGATTTTCGGTATCTTTTTTTATTACGTAGGATTGAAGTTTCTTTTCTAATTTTGTTTGTTGAGCTCACTTTGTGGTAAATGTATTCCTAGTATAATTTCATACACCAGGAAGTTGTCAGAACCTTTTCTTTCTTGCTTTATGGTAAAACCTCTGTGTTTCATTTATTTTCGGCCTATATAGTGTATTAAAGGTTCCCGATCATTGTGCATACAAGTTACTTGCAGAGCCCTTTAAAATGCCCAGTGCTAGAAAGGAAATGAGGGCTGACACGGGGTTCTGCTTCTGTTCTACAAGTAATGACCTTACTTTTGTTGTGTGGGTTTTATGAAAATGATGTCAGGTGGCAGGTTACAAGACACCTGTTGCATTGGCTTGTAGGATAGGTACAGCCTTGTGCTGATCACCAAGCCACAGCAAGGATGTGGGGCAGACAGACAGACAGCAGAGTAACACCACTAAGTATCTGGCTGTATCCACTGGGCTTTCCAGGGCTGGTAGAAATACACAGGCTGTGAAGTTGAGTGTGGGTGTTCTGATCCTCCATTCTTTACCCTCCAGGCACCATCCAGGAGGATTACCTGAGGGAGCTGCTGACCACCATGGGCGACCGCTTCACAGATGAGGAAGTGGATGAGCTGTACAGGGAGGCCCCCATTGACAAGAAGGGGAACTTCAACTACATTGAGTTCACACGCATCCTCAAGCACGGGGCAAAAGACAAAGATGACTGAAGAGCTGCGGCTTCCAACTAATGTTCCCTGTTGCCATTGGGGTATTTCTGAGATTTTTCTCCTGGAGCCCATTGCATGCCCTCGCTTTACTGCTTTTTGCCTTTCTTGTTTTGTATTTATTCTCAGCCACTTTGGGCCACGTGTACCTTTATAATCAGACTGGAAATGGGACTTTCTGTCATTACAGGATGAGAAGGTCAGGCAGTCTCATCCTGTGTAATAACAACTGCAGCCCACAGAGTCCGTATATTTTTTCAGAGAAAGTTATCCACTCAATTTTTTCTGAATGATAATTAAACTTTCTGATAAAATACTTAGTCGTTTAGTGTTATTGACTTTTAGTTTTACTCGCGTCTCTTTCTAAGCACGGTAGACAAGTGAATGACAGCCCCATCAGTGCTTGCCCTGACTCCGTCCAGGGCTCCTTGTGATTTAAAGCAATCCTGGTTTTCTCTGCTTCTGCTTTTTTCCCCCTCCAGGGAAATCAGATGAAGCCTTCCTTGAGTGCCTAGACTTTGTCTTCCAGTTTGGAAAATAATTCCTGCAGAATTGTGACCCCTGGAGTAAGTCAGACTCTAGAGTTTGACAATCCTGCTTTACCTCTTCCCATTCCTGCCACTAAAATAGGAGCAGGCCCTGAACACACTAATTTTCATTTGTTCTATTTAAAAACTATTTCAGCTCTAAAGGGTCTTTGGAATGCTTTTAACAGAAAAGACAGATTTCTCTGTGTTTCCAGCTGTTGGAAATACAGTAATTTTTGTTGTTGTTGTTGTATTCAGTTCTTCCTTATTATAACAACCCCTATTAAAAGACCATGTTTGTTTATGCAGATTCCTCATAAGTCCATATGTGAATTTTAGACGTTCCTGACCTACCCACAGTCAGAACAGCTGTGGCTGCATGCCTGGGAAAGTGAGGTCATTGTTTCAACCCTAAAAATAACTTGCGTTATTTTTGATAATTGAGAACTGTTGCCCTGTTAATTAGGGAGTGGAAAACACTTTTGTTCTGTTTCATTTCTAATGTCTCAAGAAGCCCTAAGTGTAAAAAGATTTGAAACTGAGGGGGTGTGTGCTTCAAACTGTTATGCTATTGAAAGACTGTCCTTGAAGGAAACCATTACCTCATTTGATAAACAGTTACGCAATGCCTTTGAGTGGCAGGTTAGAGAGCCAGAGGCCTTAACCCAATAATGCCGGTCCTGTAGAATGGAGGTGGGGGATGAGGGAGTAGTAACTAGTAACACCTACCCTTCGCCTACTTCAAGATTCGAGTCATAGAAATCTGCCCTAATTTCCTGCTTGAATTTCATTTAGATTTTTAAGCAAAATACTTTTTTCAGCTTATCCACTCAGTGTTAAGTCTTGTTGAATTTTCCACTCTTACTGAAGGGGAAGAAAAAAGCCCTACACGTATCATCTCTTTTGCTAACAAATCTTCAGTGAGGTAGAAAAAAAAAAAGTACTACTAAAATTCTCTCTTGCAACATCCATCTCCATCTGGGCAACCCCTTGAATGGCTGTTGGGGACAGTAGGTGGTCAGTCCTGTTTGAATTAAATCTCTTAATTTGCTAGTAGGGTTTGCTGCTTAGTAGCTGAGCTTTGCTTAAGCAAGAATGGCTGCCAAAAAAAAAAGCTCTAAGAATCTCCTCTAGCAGTGGGCTTGAAAGCAGAACCGCTCTCTGAACTTTCTGTGATGAAAAGGACCTCAGGGTTAGCCCTCCAGCTTCAAAGCCCCAGCAAAAACACTCCAGTGTGCAGCAGCCGGCACACCTGCTTTACGGTTATGTTGCCACTGGACTCCAGTGGGTTTAATCAAGGAACCCGAGACTTAAAGGCCAGGAAGTGGATGTGATTGCATAAAAGACAGGTGGAGGCTTAGGTTCTGAGAAGGGAACCGCTTTCTACAAAAAATGAGGAGATTGAGGGCCAACGGGGAGTTTAGGATTGGGTAGACACTGACTAGAGAGCTTCACAGGAGTACAGGCCACAAAAAGTTAGAGCAAGCTGATTTTAGGAGGGAGGAGGGTCGTTATCAGGTCACAGAGATGTAGGAAAGTGTAAAGGAGCCCACTGGAGTTGGCATGCCTGAGGCACTGGAAGACAGGTGTTTTTCTCCACTGCCTCCCCTCCCCCAGGGCTTTGTGCAGCCCTGACTGTCCTGGAACTCCAGGCTGCCCTCTACCTGCTTTTGTCTCCCTAGTGCTGGGATTAAAGGCCGGAGCTGCTGCCACCACCCGGTGGGACTTTTCAGCGTTTTCAAGCCCCAGTTTTGCTGCCTCTCAGCTTCATCGCCTTAGGCAAGCTACTTATTCTTAGTTGGCCTATTTATTCATTTATAAAATGAAGTAATGCTGCCCATAATGGCACCTTTATGATTAAAAGCAGCATCTATCTGGAGCTGGGTGTGGTTGACTAAACCCCACCTGGTACCCAAGTAGATCTGCGCCCTCACGTGGCCAAGGTTGTTTTAAAATGTCTTCCTCATCTGAAATAGGGACACTTCCTTCTAAGATTGCTACAGAAATTAGAAATGTGGGGAAAGGTGTGTGTGTGTGTGTGTGTGTGAATGCAGCCAATATTCAAATTGTAGTTTATTCTTGCTTTGCTTGTTAGCGGGTCCCTGGAAAGAATCTCGAAGGGAAGACGATGCAAAGGGCCTCCTATCCTTAGAGCTGAAGCCTTGTATACATAGAGGGGAAACCTGGCCCTCAGTGCTGGGACTTCACACCTCTCTTTACATAGAAAGTATTCTTAGCCACTGACCTGACCCACCTCTGGTTTTTTGAGAGGGGCTTTTGCTGTGTTAAGTTTGCCTGTTTTGATGCCACTGGGATGCCAGGGTTAAGGGCACGTGCCACATCCTGCTCATTAACTGATCTTACATTGCCTAGAGTGGGCATTTAGGAAGTGGTGGTAGACTTCTGTAACAAACTCTAAAAGAGCCACAATCTACTGCTTTGGGGGAGGAGGCTGCACATTCCCTGGTGCCTGCATATGGAGTTCAGGGAACAAATTGCAGGAGTTGGTTCTCTGTGGGCCCTGAGAATCTAACTCAGCCATGCATGCTGACAGATGCCTTTACCTGCTGAGCCATCTTGCTGGCCCCTAAGTTGTATTTGTTTTGTACGGACTGCCGTGCACGGATACTCAGTGCTGGAGATGCATGGTGTTCCTACTTGGTAGGAATTTCTTTTGGAGACCGGGTAGGAAGGGAGGTGGTTTTCTCTGTGTCGCTTGGCTGTCCTGGAACTAGCTCTGTAGACCAGGCTGGCCTTCAACTCACAGAGATCCTGCCTCTGCCTCCTAAGTGCTGGAATCAAAGGTGTCGCCACCACCGTCTGACATGGAATTTCTGATCAGACTTCTAGAATATGAACTCCGGCGGGAGAAAGTAAAAGCCCACTGGCTGGAGTGCAATTTCAAATTAAGCGAGGGTGTTTCTGGAGCTCTCTGGAGAGTACTCAGCCGCCGCCCTCTTCCGGATTACATTCCTTCCTTCTCTTGAACACTGTTTATCAAAAACTCAGTTTAACCAGGCCAACTGACCTCTGCTAAATCAGGCAACCTCGGACTGCCCGCTGCCGGCGCCAGGGGACCCCCAAACCAGGGCGGCTCCCAGCCCACCCGACTCAAATTCCAGCGCTGGCGCTCCGCCCTCGGCCCGGGAATGCGGAAGGGCCGCGGGACCTGCGCGGGGAGCCGGGGAGGCCCGCGGGCTGGGGCGACTGCTGCAGGAGGATGCCGTGCCGGTGAGCTGAGGAATCCGTACTCGCAGCTATCCGGGCTGAGCTCGCCGGGCTGCGCAGCCAGGCAGGCTAGTCGCCGCCGCTGGCTGCGGGCCCCAGGGTCTTAGAAACGCTCGCCGCATCCCCCTGCCGCGGTTGGTCGCGCCGGGCTCGCCGGTGCTCCTTCCGCCCCGCCCCCGGGCCGGAAGTGCGGCGCCGCCACTGTCCCGCCGCAGTCTCCGCTGGTCGCAGTCGCCGGTCGGATCCTCTCGTGCGTGCAGCATCAGGTCAGGTGAGTGGCTCTCGGCCCGGCGGAGCATCCCCCGGCTGCATCTGTCCCTCGTGCTGCGCAACCGCGTCTGGAGCCTGCGGGTGGCGGAGCGGAGGCGGCTCGGTTCGAGGCCCTGCGCGGTTCCTGTGTTGGGGAACCCTGGCCGAGCGAGGTCCCCGGACCGTGTGCACAGGGCCTGCGACATCCGATGTCTGACACCTTGTGCCCGGCTGCCCGCACCTGCTGCAGCTGCAGGCTGCAGGTCCAGGCTGCGTGTTAGCGCAACTGCGCGCATCCGTTCTAGACGCTTTGGGGGAGGAGAAGCCCGCTGGTGCACGGTTCCTGCCAAAGGAAAGCAGGAACCGGTACTAGAGTTTGTGGTTAGCAAATGCTAAAATGGGTCTATCTGCATAAATTCTTAGTGTGTCTTAGGTCTGGCAAAGATTTAGCTCATTGTTAGAGAAGGACGATTCAAAGAAAGCTGGAAAGAATGGATAACTTACTGATCCAGGGATCCAAGATGAACTGGTGGATCTTTGCTAGGAGGTACCGAGCAAAAGCTCAAAAGGTGGCCAAGCTCGAAATATGAGCATCGTATTATGTGTACAAGAAGCACGGGAGGTCAACCCGAAGGGAGCAGAACAATAACGAATACTAGCTGGGAAAGAGGAAGGTAGTTAGGATAGGACTCTTGTATACACACAGCCCTGGGCTAGATCCTATAAAAGAAAATAACGTAGTTAGCCAAGTTAGGCCTCTTTATAGGTGTATTGAAAACTCGATGAGAAATGAAAAATTATGTAAGAGGATTTGGGGAGTCACTTGGGTGCCTCGACAAGGAAACACGATGAAAGGAGGTTTAGGGGTCGGGTTGACAGCTTTTGTTAAAAATGGCTTGGCTGTAGTCCTGTGTGTTAGAGAACTATCACAAGCATTTTCTGATTCAATAAACTTACCGAGTATCTCCTAAAACCCTATTAGTTTATGATTATAGAAAGTGATACCCAGAGAGGTGACGTCATTTGCCTGGGATCACTTGAGGAACTCATATGATGCCACCAATTTTTTTCTGTGAGCTCGCTCGGTGTGTGTGTTGCTCTCTCTGTTGGGGAGAGAAGGGGAGTGTCTCTCTCTCTCTCTCTCTCTCTCACACACACACACACACACAGGCACCTGATCACCCTTCCTGTCTGGATACTAGGTTAAGTAAATTCTGTGATGGCTGCTTCCGTATTCATTTATGCTACAGTGAAGTTCAGTTTTACTAAGCTGCAGCTTCTGAAAGACAGATCCCCAGGTGATGGTTGGCCAGAGCTAGGAAAGCCAGGCATGGGGCCAATATCCCCATCCCCCAAAGTTGAAAGATACAGCCGTGTAGGGACGACTTTCATATACCCTGGTTACCAGCGTTTTAGATTGTTCTCTAACAAGTTTCACACGTTGAGCTAAGCAGATTTCCCTTCCTCCCTCTGAAGTTTGATCACTGATTCCCCCTTACCTGGCACAAGCCAGATGACAGGAGAAAAGGGTGTTCAGAACTCACTATGTACAAGGGGGGGAGAAAGACAGGTAAACAAATGAGCCTTAGCAAGCTTGTCACCCTCTTTATTGGTGGGTGGGGGGGGGGCATGTCGACAGTTTTAGAGGAAGATTATATGATTTTTAGAAGAGTAAACCAGCTTGAAAAACATATCCAGGACAGTCCCTTTGGGCTCTGGGTGTGGTGTCACCTCTGGACTTGGTTCCATTAGAGGGAGGTAGCCGTAGCTACTCCATTCTTTACAGGCGTGCTTCCCATGGTCAGGTCCTTGGACTTTGGAAGGGAAAAAGAGGCCTTAAAGGCGTCTCTTTGGTTCTGTGTTCTTAGCATGGCAAGCATCGTATTTCATATTCACCTCAAGGAACACGTCAGCCTTGCCAATGGCGGAAGTTTTCATGATGGGCACTTGAGCTGCTGATAGGAAGGACACAGGGCTGCTGAGACATGTTCTGTGGCTGGATTCCTTGGGTATTCCTTCTGCCTCTTCCTAGCTTTTATCTGAGAAGTTGGTATAGCAACGGAGCTCATGTTGTAATGCATGTGACATGCTTACTCCCCCCACCCCATGCCTGGTACACCTGTAGCCTGTTCCTGTGTTAATAACGTTCCTTCCAGGTACTGAGCAAGGGGTAACTAGCTGGTAGGCTTTGTGAAGTGCTTGAGTGTGTGCTGACTCGTGGGTACATTCTGGGGGGTGGAGCCTTATTTTAGGGACGCACAAACCTAATACCTTAACCATGAATGTTTGTGTATGCAATATTGTTTGTGATGGGAAGAAATTAATTTTATATATGTTGCTGCTTGTCGAGGATTTATTTGGTACCTGCCATGTGCAAGCAGTCTTCCTAGACTCTCATCCAAGTAGAAAAGCAAAAGGCTGTAGAAGGATATTTGTAAAGTATACATCAATATAATCGTACTCGTTAGTAGAAGAGAATAAAAAGCTGGGCGTACGGGACTAACTAACGTGTTTGAGGGCCTGGGTTTGATCCACACACATTCAAAAACGTTTTTCAAAAGAGGCAGAGGACTCTTGTCAACTCAACATGTTGGGCCAGTCTCAAAAAAAATTACATTTAAAGAAGTCGGGCCTCTGGAAGCATGCATTCATCATTTGACTTAAAAGAAACTCAGACTAGAGCATCTCAGGGTCACTGAATACTTCTAATGGTGGCACTCTGGAAGCTGAGGCAGGAGGCTCCTGAGTTTGAAGTCAGCCTGAGCTTTGTAGTATGGCTTTGTCTCCAAAAAAGAAGGAAAAGGAAAAGAAATCCAAACAAGATTTGCCAGGGGTATGAGGTACACAGCTGACTTTCAGGACTTTCTGGAATGACGTTAACATTTATAACTTAATTGGGTTATTACATGAGTATACACATTTACACAAGTGATGGGGCACCGAGGTATGGAGCTGACTGGCAAGGATGCCCAGAACACCTATCAGGGAAAAGAGAACAGTACAGTGTCTGTGGTGAGTGTGAAAATACATGTATTCACCAAGTTTGCCTGTTGTGAAGGAAAAATTATAAAAATTGTGTTTAGCTTTTTAAAAGAAAGATAATTATGGAACTTTTAAAAAAAAACTATGTAACATAAAAACCAATTATATGTCATTAAGCGTATGAGGTTAATTTTGTGAAGCGTTTTAATTTGATTGTATACGGAATTCCCTTTCTGATTGCTGCCTTCAAACTGGTCTTGCATCTGGTCATTCAACAATAAGTAATCTTGTCCACAGTGATTATGGGAGAATCCGTGTGAAATTCCTAGATTCTGACAGACGTCGGAAAAGACAAAATTGAATTTAAAAGACTTTAGTTTTGGTCCTGGAGCTTGTCTGTGCTTTCTGTCTTCAATGGCTTCTCCTGTGAATCTGCTCACAAATCAAAACTCCCTCACTGTACAGTCCCCCCACCTTGTCACCTCAGCTGCCATTGTAGTGTAGCTGGGCTAAAACGAAAATCCTTTCTGTAAAGATTTTATTTTTAATTATATGTGTATGGGGCGGGGCGTGTGCATGTGAGAGGTATTGGATCCCGAGGAGCTCGAGTTACAGGTGGTTGTGATTTCCTCCCAAGAGCAGTGAGCACTCTTGACTAGCCCAGCCCCTAAACTTTGATTGCTTTACGACTCCTTCGCCCACAGAACCCGGTCTGCCCTCTTTTCCTTAATCTACTAACAATCAGTGGTGAGTTTTGCTTCTAGATTTTATGCCTTGTGCTGTCTGTTTCGTTTTTTTGAGACAAAACTTCACTCTGTAACCAGGCTGGCCTGGGACTTACCGTCTAGCCCAGGCTAGCCTCAAACCTGCGGCTATCCCTTCTTGCCTCAGCCAGGAGAGAGCTGCACTAGGTTTGAGTGGTACCTTTGAGATTCAAGTTTGTAAACCAGCACTTAAGTACGTCCAAGGATAGAACTTTGAAGAAAGCTGTCATTAGAAAGCAAGAAAAACCTGCAGAGCAGTAGAGGGATGTGAGATGGGATGGTGGTAAGGAATGGGAGATGTGTCTGAGAGAGCCCGCCGAACGGGGCGGAGTTTATCACGGCCATTTTTGTTTGTTTTCTTTTACCAGAATAGAAAATTCCTCAGTCACCTGGCTGGTCCTTTTGAACTTTCTGTGGCTCTAAGCCTGAAACACAGATGTTTCCTCCAGTCACACTTAAAGAATTTACAGAACAAGGGCTTTGCTACTTTCCCATGGATACATAACAAAGAACCCTTAACTTTGTTTTATCACCTATAAGGCAATACCTGGGGGCTTGTTGTTGCTGTTGGTTTGGGTCCTTTGGTTTTGAGACAGGGTCTTTATCGCCCTGGCTGTCCTGGAACTTAACTATGTAGACCATCCTGGCCTTAAACTTAAAGAACTCTTCCTGCCTCTGCCTCCAGAGTGCTGGGATCAGAGGTGTGTGCCACCACACCTGGCCAATAAATTCCAGTCTTTAAAAGCCAGGAATTCCCAAGCCAAAAGTTGTCTGAAGGGATCGTGTCCAGTGTGGCTGACTCACACGGATGGATGGCCCGTTGCCGCTGGCTTTTGCCGGAGGCCTCAGTTCCCTGCTATCTGGTGCTAGCATCTGCGGATTGACTCAGAACCGCAAGCAGGGGATGCAATGTCTGGTGTAACAGTAAACTGACGTCATTGCACAATGCGCTCTGCTTACCCGGGTCCACTCTCCACTCTTCCCTTCTGGGTGGCTGCACAGTGACACCTGTTGAGGGTCATCTTGGAGCCCAACAACCACCTTGGCAAGAGGGGGAAGGAGTTTCAGTGCCATCAGGAACCATGCAGGTAGCAAAACATTGGGGAGTGGGGCAGATATCTCATTGAATACTCGACAAGAATCGGGGAGTGCTAATCTGGTGATTCTATCTGCACTTGTTCAAGATGTCTGAAATTCAAGGTTTTAAGTAAAATTTCATATTAAAAAAATTGATGGCTGGGCAGTGGTGGCGCATGCCTTTAATCCCAGCACTTGG